GAAAAGAAACTTCCAATGGTTAGGTTAGGACTGGATGTTGTGCGCTACTCAGTTTGCAGTCCTCTACATTCAAGGATCTAGACAAAACTATTTGGAGTCCGTTTCCTACTAATCAAGCACCCGAGATGACAACTAAAATCAATATCCAATCTCTCTCGATAGACAACAAATACCTAACACACCCACCAAGCATATGACTGGTAACTTTTGAAGTTAATCATAGTTTTGCTCCCATCGCATAGGAACTTAATGCTGAAATGGAAGCATGCATAAAGGAACTTAATCATAGCCATTCGTTGAATTAACATTCTGATACATACATTGCAAATAGTTGCACCAGGTTTCGAGCTAAATCATAGCCATTCATTGAATTATCTCATTAAAAGCAAATGGGAAAAAGTTAACACATTCTGATACATACATTGACAATTGTTGCACCCCAGTCACGAAGGAAGTCGGCTGGAATTGGCCTTGGTCGTACAAGACATCTAACATCATAGCCTTCATCCAAAGCCCTTCTGACCACCTGCCTTCCCAAAGTTCCAGTAGCCCCAACAACTAGAATACTGGTAGGCCTAACAGGGGTCCCCGGAACCATTGTAGTTGAAACCACTGCTTGAGCATTGCAGTTTATAGACAACCGTCTTGAAGATCTGCCTAGAATAGAATAAAATGAGTACTAATCAGACTAGTCTGGATTTTATACTGAGAAATCGAGGAAATACACAGCAATGTCGCCAATTGCATTAAAAACTCTTGAAGATTTGCTCAGAATAGAACAAAAGCAGTAATAATCAGACTAGTTTGGATGTTATACCGAGAAATCAAGGAACTACACAGCAAAGTCGCCAATTGCATTAAAATCTAACCAGATTATTAAAAGACAAGATGGCCTCAATCATGAAGCCATAGTTGTTTCCCTCACAGAGCTCCACCAAATTAATGTATAGATGAATTTAAAATGTTTGTTTTGGAAATTCTTGGTATACAAAATGTCAAGCAGCTCATGGCAGCATTGGCAACTCTTTGAAAACACATAAGGATCCATTAATTAAAAATGTGTCGGCTGTATAGTCAAGGAAAATATCTACAAATGGTGAACTGGATCTTCAGAGGAGGACATAGGGAAGCACCCGATCAGGAGTCAATCTATATTCTGAAACAACAGAAGACCATTTTCCTTTCCCTCCCTCCTCCCTCTCTCTCTCTCTCTCTCCGTTAAACTGATTCAATCGAAGTACGCACATTACTGACACCAAAATTTATAGGTATAGAATGGATACAGAAAAGCTTATGAATCAGTAGAATACTGGAGTTGGGAACCCATATCTCATATTCTGTATTGTCCGTTCCTGCAAGAGCAATCTCCTCTTTTCCAATTGCAACCATTGAAATTTATCATATATTCACTAGTCACTACAATCCCTCTCCACTGGACCCCAACTTCTTAAGATGGCTTGAAGCTTAACTTTGATAGTTTTAGTAAAGACTTGAGAAGTCCAACACCTTATAGCAAAACAGGGTCCTCCAAGACGAAAGGGCTCTACATACATAGTTTCTTGGAAGTGCTAGAGATGAAGGATCTAGTTTGCATCATTTTGAATGACAAGTACCAGAGATTAGGTGGTTCACCATGAAATAATACTTTCTATGGACACTTGCTGATATTCTTGGTGTGATACAAGACATCTTGGAATGGGTAAATGGAGTTTATCACGGTCTGCTGGTTATCTAGAAATACTTTTCCTACACAAGAAAATTTTGGAACACAACTACGAAATGTGGTTGGCCTACTTCATGGACACAAATCATCCAAATCAAGCATGTTCCTTTGTTCATTGACCAGGTCACAATGAATAATACACCTCTAATTTGCTTATACACCAATTTGTGCTCCAAAACTTTGATTTCTCAGTCTGCTTTCTATTCCAAAACCACAAAGTGGGAATCTCATGTGCTTGCATATTGCTAACTAATTAAGGAAAACACATCTAATTTGAAGTTGATTGCACTCATGGAGCAACAGGTTGTCCCACTTACTGCCCACAAACCCCAATTCCCTGATTCCCCAGCACAAACATTTATTTTAACAGAAATTCAAAAAAATATGCATTTTCTGTGTAACTATTCTCATTTCTTTTTTCTAGCAAGTGGTTACACACAAGGTTCAAAACATTGACTCGGGCAAGGTACTCGGGCCCCGGCTGAGGCGATGTACTCAGCCGAGTCCGAGTTCCTAGGTCGAGTCTTCAGTTTTTTCAGCGATTCTTGTTCACCCAATGGACCAGCAGCTACCATACCATGGACTCGGGGCCGCTCGGCCTCGGCAGTGGGGCGAGGCCAAGTCGACTCGCCCGAGTTCGAAACCTATGGTTACACGCATGCACCACTACCCAGCCATATACTCTAATAAGTGAGTTGTTGATGTCAAACCCCAGTTCATAAATCAAATGCTGAGTAGTATCAGCATTTTATCTTCTTTATTTCAATTTCAAATTCGAATGCCGGGATCAAAGGAAAACATATCCAATCTACTTTTCGGCAGGACGAGTAATGAACTGAGAAAATTCTAGAATGCAAAGAGAAAAAGGACACAAAACGGGTTCAAATATGTCATTTTTTTACAAAAGAGAAGAAGATTGGCAATAAGCATAGTTCAGCTCATATTAAGATCGATCAAAAAGCAATGAAAATTCCATAGATAGCAGGGTTTCTAGCAAATTGGAAAAAATTATCCTAACTGTCAGTTGTACACCCCAATTCGAATAGCTTTGCGTGAGGCAAAAATAAAAAAAGCCAAGACCATGCCAGAAGAGGAAATTGGTATGAGAACAAGAAGCAAAAGGACAGAAATGAGGTTTTCGGGTTAAGCATGGCTGTACCTAAAGAGAGAGAGAAACAATCAGAAACAGAGAGGTGGTGGTCAAGCAGATGAAGGGGAGAGCCCAGGAAGGGAGACCTCCTCTGCTTCTTGTGGTGGAACGATGAAGAAGACGTGAGTTGAAAAGGAAGAGCAATGCAACTTGACGCCATCACTTTCTCTCTCTTCTCCTCACTCTCTCTCACTTCTCTATCTCTTCTCTTTCTCTCTCTTCTCTCTCATGCAGATACAGTTCACGCTCTCGCACCCTCACTTTCAACCTGTTCAGGGCTGAGGCCGTGCGGCAGTGAGAGATATAGATTAGATAGCAGGATATCCTGCCACGTCAGCATTCGATCGGCATGTCCGCTTCCGGTTCACACAAAGTAAACGTACTGGTCTGTATAGCGGCTGGGGTTTCCCCTTTGAAGGAATAAGTTTATATAAGAGCCGAGGCTCTCTGCATTTAAATTCGAGCCTACCTCGAAACTTACTTTTACTAATGCAGGTTGTTTTGATTCTCAAATATTTTCAAATTGATTGTCTCGTCGCATGGACATAAAAAAAAAAGATAGAGTTTCAAGTTTTGAAAATAGTATATTTTATGGCACATTTTTAAATTATTTATTTTCAAGATTCTTAAGTTCTCATAAATTTATTGATCTATACCAATTTTTAAGCTTCAAACTTTATAAATAAATATGGAAATATATTTTAAAGCTATATAACAAAGATTTCTGATATTGAAACTATATTTCTCAAACACTATTTAAAAGTAGGCTGTAATTTAATTGTATAGAGCCTTGGCTCTATACAAACCACACCCTTTTTTGAAACTAAGAAAGTTATGGTAGTATACTGTTCATTGCTAAGTGGAATAGGCTCTTGGTGTTGTAGGTTTGCAAGCTTGAGAGATGTGTTCAATATTTCAAATAAAGCTCGCTTACCGGCGAAAAAGGTGAGATGGAAATCGAAACATTGTTTACTACTGATAGAAGTTTGCGCTTTGGCTTTTTATAGAGGGATGTATATGGCAAGATGGTCCACACACAACTGCAACAGAGCTTAGACTTGGGCCTGAGCTAGGCCCAAGTTTATTTTAGCTAAACCCGAAATTTTGGTTTTGGGGTTAGGCACGGGCATAGCTTGAATGTTAAAAGATAGTGAACTCATTTCAACTCAAAGAATATTAAAATATCATTATCATTATCATCCGAGCCTTTCGGGTAAATATCTAAAAAATACATATTACACAAATACATACATGGTTTATAGATATCACACAAAAATCTGCATAGATCTAATATAAATATACATAGTATAGGTGTTTTAAGGCCAGGCTGAGGCACCCTACGCTAAAATAAAGTTTGGAGGTCCAGCCTTTACGCCTTATTTTGTTGCCTAAACCCAACTTGGATGCATCACTTTAGAGCTAGCAAGGGGTTGGGGCCTAGGCCCGAGCCAGCCGTAGCCCTAGTCCATACGACTCTCCATAGGGCTAGCTCAGGCGCCGATTGGCCTTGACTAAGCCAAAGGGGCCTTGACCTAGGCCCGGCCCTAGCCCTCACAAGGTCAGGGCGAGCTAGAGTATTTCTTTTAACAAAATAAATAGAAAACTAAATAAAAACGATGGCCAGGCTAGGCCGAACCGAATTGGCTCTGTCATAGCATTGGCCCTGGCCTAGCCCTTGGGTCTATCCCCCGAGCCACATTTTGTGGCCTAGGCCCTAGTTTTTTAGGGCCAGACCAACAAGGTGGGGCCCAGCCACCTAGCCCATCGCCACCTTTATCTCACTTTGCTAGAGTGCCCATGGGTCGGCCTAACCCTTACTATGCAATACATTGTATTGTATAAGAGCAATTACCTTCTTATTTTTTGCAAATACCATTGTGTTTTACTTTTTTATAACTCACGGCAAGACGCAAGAGTAAAATGTAATCGATTAGTTGTAGGGTTTATTTAGATGGTAGTTAATATTATTAGGAGTAGATTATCATCATCATCGTAGCTTTTTTTCAACTATTTGGGGTTGGCTACACGAATCATAGTTCGTCATTCTGTTCTATCAAGGGTCATACAATTAATGAAATCATAAGTTCCCGTATCTTTTTTCACTACTTTAACGATGTCCTTTTGGGGCTACTTTTTTTTTTTTTAAGCCTATCCCTTGCCCGTTTTTTGACATTCCACTTAAATTAAGTTGCATTTTTTTAACATATATTGTATTGGATATGTGTTGCACATAACTAGCCCATCTAAGTCTATTTTATATCATCTTATCGCCTGTTGGAGCCACACTTAAGTTCTCCCGAACGTATTTATTTCGAATTTTATCCATTATTGCATTGTCACTCATCCATATCAATTTACTCATCTCAGCTGTACTTGTTCTATGGGTATGTTATTTCTTGACTGCCCAACATTCTGCCATATAAAGAAAGTTGGCATCCATGTTGTCCTATAGAACTTGCCCGTCACCTTTTTTGGTGTACAACGATCACATAAAACTCTCGTTACAATCTCCACTTCTCCCACCATATAATTTTATGCACAACATCTTCTTCAATCTCTCCATTTCATAGACTATCGATCTAAAATATCGAAAGTGCGCTCTTTTTTATATTTCTTGGTTGTCAATCTTAATTATTTTCACATATCTACTTCTATTTATTCCTAAACTTGCATTCCATATATTATGTCTTAATCCAGTTAATTCTAAAACCTTTCGATTCTAAAGCATCCCTCAAAGTTTTAACTTTGTATTGACGCCACTTCATATCTCATCAATTAAAGCTATGTCACTCATGAACAACATACAACATGGTTTCTCATCTTGTAGTTGCCTATTTAAGTCATCTATAACTAAGACAAAGAAGTACAAACTCAATGCTGACCTCTGATGTAGACATATTGTTACTGAAAACTCATTTGTCTCTCCACTAATTGTTCACACACTATTTAGCACTTTCGCGTAAATATCTTTCATTAAATCGATATAGCATCTAACGACTCCTTTTTGTTTTTAACACCCATCAAATTAAATATCGAGGTACTCTATTATAAGTTTTCTCCATATCAATAAATACCATATAGATGTTTTTTTTTTTACCCTAAACTTCTCAATTAGTTGTATGAGTATGAAAATTGCCTCAATGGTTGATCTTCCTGACATAAAAACAAATTGATTTTTTGATACACTTTTTTAATGCCTCAGTCATAACACGCTCTTCCACAGCTTCATAGTTCGGCTCACAAGTTTGATCTCTCAATAGTTCAATTCTATACGTCTCCTTTGTTCTAATAAATAGGTACCACAATATTCTTACTCTATTCATTTGACATTTTCCCTGTTATCAATGCCTTGTTGAATAGCTTGGTCAGCTGGTCAATGCCAATACCAATCCTCCCCCATGCATTTTGAAACCTCTATCTGGGTATCATATTGTCCTAAAGCCTTTTCAATCTTCATATTTTTTCAAGTTTCTTTCACTTTTGATATCCTAATCCTATAAATATATGTATGACCTCCACCCTCATTCATGCCAACGGTTCCTTTTATCTTTATGTTCCCATTTTATTGTCATTTAATAAATTTTTAAATAAACTCCCATCCTATCATTGAGCTCTTCATCCTTCGGTAAGACACTTTAATTTTTTAAAATAAGCTCTCTATCTAGCATTGACATCTTCAACCTTCACCAAGGCCCTTTTATTTTTTAAAATAAGCTCTCCACTCGTTGTTGACCTCTTCGTCTTTCACCAACGCCATTTGATCCTCACTCTTAATGCATTTAATACAGTCGAGTTCCCTGCACTATTTCTCTTTCATTTTTGCTATTTTGAAGACATATTTTTTTATATATTTTTTTATTTTTGCTATTTTGAAGACATATTTTTTTAACTTTTTTTTTTTTTTCAATTTATTGTATAGATTATCATATATCTTAAATTTAGCATTACTGACGTAGTATAAAATGGAAAAGCTTTATATATTCCCCTTACAACATAGAAGTTCTATCTTCCCCTACTATCCTCCCTCTACAATCCAGCTGTCCATTTTTTATCAAGAGAGCCACCCACCGTTTGATCTTTGATCCGATGTCTCAAAGTATTTTATTTTTAATTTTTTAATACAAATTTTCTGAATATGAAATTTGGTATGTGTCATCTTCTCATTGGGGCTCACCTATAAAAAATACTAACAATAATTTTTTGATAAATAATAATGACCAAAGTACCCCTTGAATCTTTCAGGGGTATTTTGGTTATTTTATTTTATTGAATTTTTTTTTTATATTTTTTCGTTAGTGCGAGTTTAATAAAGGAATGGACATAAAAAATTTGGTGTCAAAACAATTTATAGAAAATTTTAAAAATAAAAAAAAATTAAAAATAAAACAATGCAGAGACGTGACATTGTGATTGGGGCAATCTTAACATTAAAAAATGGAGGGTCGGATAAGGGGGAGGATAGAACTTCTATGTTGAAAGGAAAACATAGAAAGTTTTTCCGTATAAAATTACTCATCGAATACCACCCCGCAAATTAACGGCGTCTAAGAGAGAAATAAAAATCCAAAAGCGAATCCAAGAAGAAAGAAGAAAATGTGCGGATATGAGTATTCCGTAACGAATGTGTGGATATGAGTATTTGGACACGGGCCCATAAACAAGAGAAGAAATTCGTGTTGATATGAATATTCCGACACTGGCCCATAAACAAGAAAAGAAACAACTCTCGGCCCTCTCTCTAAAAAACACTTTCTTTATTCCATAAAATTCAATCTCTCCGATTACAAATCCCGTGCTGCCTTTCCTTTAACAAAATTAAAGATCAGTATTTATTCTATAACTAATGTAGCTCCAACTCATTATTTTTAAAAAATAGGTTTATGCTTTTCATGATTAAAAATAACAAACTGGTCATAAGATTTGCTAGTATCTCACGTACCCATAATAGGGATAAGCTTCCTTCAATTCACCGACTCTCATTCTAAACCTCATAAAATATTTATCTTCTAAATAACTTAAAATGATAACTAATTAAAACAAATCTATCTATTAAAGCAAACTCCCTCTTCAACCCTAAAAGATATATCTAAATAATTTTACCTCTTACAAACGAACCACTTCCTACTAAAACCGTTTTTTTGACGTTGGTCTTAAAAGTACGGGTCTTATCTAGAAGACAAGCATACCTAAATCCAACACATACATAAAAACGGACTTAAAACAAAGATTTATCAAACTAACCTCAAAATTTATATTTTTAATAATTAACCCTAATAAATAAAATAAGAATTTTACTTAAACTCTAAAAATAAAATTAACAAAAATAAAAATAAAATTTGTTGCATCCAAATTGTGATATGCATCAATTACTTACCATTTATTTGGCTTTTTCTTAGTGTTTTTATATTCGTCTAAGTTTTACTTGTTACTTTTGTATAAATATGAATTTAAGCAATGAGTTATTTAAAAAAAAAAAAATATTTTTCATTTTGGAATTTTAATTTCTAAAAATAAGTCATTAGGTTTTTTCTTATTTTTTGGATATTAAAAATATAAAACAAGAGACAATTTATTCCTAAGAAAACATACTCCGTACTTTTACATTTTTGAATAAGATTAACATAGATCTTATTTTCTGATTTTTAATATTTGAAATTTAAAATTTATTTGGGAGGCATGATATTTGGATGTTTACATTTTTTTAGTATTTTTTTAATACGAACATTTTTGATATCTCATTTAAGAAGCATAATGTTTGATCTTTTACATGCTTTTGGAGTTTTTCGCATTATATTTATTTATATGCCTCATGCTTCACAGGTTATTTTGTAGTGTATGGGGGTTTCACAAGTGCTGGGAAGGGAAGGTTTCACAACGGTTGAGATTTTATGAAGAGCGATTTGAGGGAATAGATAGGAAAAAGATGAAAAGATAGATAATAAGAAAAAAATAACATGCTGGAAGAGATAGAGAGTTTTTAGAAAAGTGAGATTTATGGCGCACACCTTTTCTTCATGTTGAGAGATTTGAAAAAGGGGCGTTTATGAAAAGGAAAAAGTTTATAGAAGGATGCTACGTTATAACTACGAATGGCCCTCAAAAATCCATTGAGTGATCATCTCGGCATCGAGATGTATGACTATGAAAAATAAAAAGATTTTAAATCTCAGAAATAGTACATTTTACAACATATTATCTACACCATCCATTTTCAAGATTTTCATTTGTTTATAAATCTACTTGATTTTAATCATTTTTTAAATTTAAAATTTTACAAATAGATATAAAAATAGATTTTGAGATAACTTTAAGAACATTTTACGTCAAAATTATATACCATGATAAAATTTGAAGCTGCACCTTATCTCTACACATACGGATGCCTTCGTATGCAAACTGCACTCTTATGAAAAAGACACGATTTTTATGAGTTCATGTAGAAATGAATCGCCTCTTAAAAATCTATTTTTAGGATGGCTTATTTGATTTAATTTTTAAAAATATATAATTTCCAACATAGAGATCATGAATATAAAATAAATAAATAAAATTTAAAAATTAAAAATAATAATTTTACTAAAAAAAAATTTGACGGTTAATTTCAATCTTTAAATGGGTGCTTTATACCTCGGGATCCCATATGTAGAAATGCGGAACAATTTTTTGGATGAAAGAAACAATTTTCTAATGAAAAGGACACGGTTCCTATGGGTCAATGTAGAAATGAGTGACCACTTAAAAATCTATTTTGGCATGGATTTTTGGACTTACTTTTTGAGGAAATGTAATCTCGAAAATGGAGATCATAAATATGAATAACTAAATAAATTTTTAAAACTAGAAATAAAATTCTGATAAGGAGAAAGAGAGAGTTTCTTAGGAAATAAAATAAGTTTTAAGCAAGTAAGTCGTATAAAAGGCATGTAAGAAAAACAAGAGAGGTGTTCCTCTTGCTTAATAGCAGTTAGATAATGCGGAATTCGCCGCTCGTAGGCCGAAATCAAGAAAGAGATACCCAACGCCGCCACGTCCTCTCCGCTCTTTCGGTAATTATGAGGAGTTGCAGGTCCCTCAGGTTTTGATAATGGCGAATTCGGCTCAACAATCAAGATGTGTTTTTGGTACTGAGTCGACTCCCTCCTCTCTTTTTTTATTAGGGTTAATGTTATGGTTTAGGGTTTAAACTCCCAAACTTGTCTAAAATATTTTCTATAACGCAGCTGGCAACCATGTAAAACAGCTATTGTTTAGTCCATTTATGTGAATTATAGTGTGGTTCCATTTTTATTCTTGATGTGCCCATGTCCATGGTTTGTTGCTATTTGCCAATTAACCAGCGGCGCCCTTAGGATATTCTACTGATCACCTTGATGATTTATCTGAGTATTTCTGGCTTTCTTTCTTTAATAATTGTAAATCAGTTGGGATCGCCCATTTTACTGGTTTGATATGGTTTTATATGCTTCGCAGTGGGGAACATACCATATGATGCGACTGAAGAACAACTTGTGCAAATATGTGAAGAAGTTGGCCCTGTTGTATCATTCAGGTGAGTCAGTGATTTGGCTTTCTTACACTTATCTATTTCACTATGAGTGATTTGTATCATTCAGGTGAGTCAGTGATTTGACTTCACAGACATCCATCCTTGGTGAATAGAGACCCATCCTTGGTGAATTGTAGTGATGCATCAATATCATAGAATAATGCTTATTTCTCCTTGATTGGGAACTTATAATTATCGCCTCTCACTTTATATAAATTTTATGGCCTGCTGTTATCTTGGTTCACAACCTTTTTCTTATGAAAGAAGATTTAAAATGCATAACAATAATGTACTCTCTGACTAGGCATTATTTGCATGTAAAGACCTCTTCCAAAACTATCCACAGTTCGAACACCTGTCATGTAGTTGGCTCTGTCATATGCCTACAAGCTTTGTGGTTAGGTCTTGTGTTTTCCTTTTCTCAATGAGGGATAATTCATCATAATGAAAATGATGTCTTATAGTAACTACCCACGAGCCCATAGAGTGTTTGTTGCACATCCCGAAAGGAGAAAAACATTGGAAGAAGATGTGAATCTCTTAGATAGAATAGAGTTTCGGTCATTGTTACATTATCTGAAGTAAGATACCTACTTTTCTGTAAGCGGATTAGACATTAAAGTTTGGGGCTTATGGTTCAAATGGGATGGTGGATGGAGATGTACAGCCAATGTGATTGTATCCTGCATGAGCGTATCAACCTTTGGTGGGCTTATATGGAAATGGAAGAAGTGGGTTAGGGTTAGGGTTAGGGTTAGGGTTAGCGTTAGGTAAGTAGTACTAGTTAGGTTAGAAATTATAATTGGAATTGAGTCCCAATCTAGTTGGTTTCATAGTTATACTTGGGAGTCCTACTTGGGTTAGGATTCCTAGTAGAAGTAGGATTATTAGGAGGTTTAGGAGTACTATACAATTTTGAATGGCAGGATTTTGGGGATATCTAAATGGGATATGAGTGTGGGATGGCTAACTAAGGTAGGATCGGAGAAGGTTTTGGTATGATTAAGGAAACAGATGGGGTTGGTTTAGATGGTGCCTTGAGGGTTGAACATGCTAGCAAAACTGCAAATCCGGCGAAGGTAAAACTAGTAAATGATGGAGTTGAAGGGAATGAGGCGAGTTAGGGCTAATTTAGGGTTGGCTTGGGGTCATAGGTGAAGGGTTTGAGACCATTTGGTGGGGTACCAATAGGGTGACGGATTCAATAGATGGAAACTTTGGAAGGAGAAACACCACACAAGAGGGAGAGAAAAAAGCTCTAACTTGTTGGGGTGACTCTTGCTATCTTAAACTAAAGTTATAAAATCAAACTATCTAGAGAAAAGTTGAGGAAACTCTTCTCGAGGTGAAGGAATCACTCCTTCAAAGCTGGCATCGCACCATTAAAAGAAAGAACTTAATCTTTATCTCAATTTCAAGCTTGAATGAATGGGCCATTGGCCTACATGAGTATTTGTAGGGAGTTCCAAGATCTATTTCCCCAATACTTGGACCCTTGCAAGCATAGAGAACAAACTCCTAATGACTCTAGGTAAAGTGCTTTTATCCCAACAAGTACTGGAATTTGACTTTCTAGCAATGGTCAAGTACTTGGCCGAGGCTTGGGACTCGGCCCTCCCCTTGTGGAGTAGTTCTGCTCGAACCAAATGGCCAAAAAAAAAAAATTGTAAAAATTAAAATACAAAATATTAAAAACCAAAAAAAATCAAACAATGTATACACATATTAAATAAAAAAAATTGATGTTATTGCTTGCTGAATTGAAAATAAAAAAAAATGAAAAAAAAAACACCAGAGAATAAAAAACATAAAAATATATAATAAAATTCATAAATCCATTGTAAGTCTATAGAGTAAAAAGTCAATTTATGAATTTAAATTTCAAAAATTGTAACATATGAAAATTTCAAGCTGATCCCCCAATCATTGTGTTTGATGAGAATCATCTAGCTTTGCCAAAGCTTCCTTACCCAACCCAAAACCCACAATGGGTTTTGAGTTCTGACATCTGGGAGATCCATGCCTTTGAAAATTTTCGGATAAACAAAATATCTGAAATTGAAAACCATAAGCCTCACCCCCCCTTTTTTTTTATGAAGGAACAAACCAATGGGTGGATGAAGAACATAAAGCTAGGCTTAGGGTTCAATATTCAGAAGGTTGACCATCAGAATGGAAGAAATAGAAGTTCTTCCAAAATCGGGTACAAATTGCCGCCCCAATTCTTCGATCTACAAAATGTGAGATATCTATTGGTTTTTTCTCAAATCTAGGCTTCTAAGGTGGACTTAATGAACAACAACTTGCTTGATTACTATAGAACTCAGGTGAATATGCCTAATTTCTATAGTACTTGGGAAAGTCGTTATAGTACTCATCTGAGTACGATTCATGTGCCATATCCTTGTGCTGGTACACTAGTACTAGCCTTGGCACCATGCCTATGCCAAGCAAATCAGCCAAGTCCAAGTTGACTTGATCAAGTTTGAAAACACTACTTCCTAAGAGGAAACTAAACTTAAAAGCCAATTATAATAATAGTTCAATAATGAAAAGTAATAAACCTAACACAAGGAAATCAAAGTTATCCCTGATTTTTTGAGCAGGCTTTCAGACACAATTTGAAGCCGTTGGGGATGCCTGAACTACTAGAATAAATGGACATAAGGGTCATAAATTTTGAAGAAGTCCTCAATTTAAGATTACGGATCACCCTAAATGGACATCCGTGTGAAACGTTGTGTCATTCGAAAGCTGACTACATCAAATGACTTGGCTTTTTACAGAAGGATTAATTAAATGTATGGACTGGATTTTGCAAAGTCAGAGACATTTTCCCATGGCAAATATAACCTTAATCTTGATGGATCTTTTCATTACTGCTAATGAGAGTTGGCCATTGCGCCAGTTAGAGGTCTAGATTGACTCATGGCTTATTTTACCACCTATAATTGAATCATGGCTTGTTTTACCACCTATTATTGCTTGATCTAAATCTCATTTGTTACTATTTTTAGCCTTAATTTCATAAGTATCATGAGGTGCTTGCCTTTTCCCAATTTCACCTGTTTCAAGTAATTTTAATTGTATCCCACTATTGTTTCCTCATTTTAGATGTACCCTCGCATTTTTTTGGGAATACATTTGAGTTCTCATGGCTGGCCTTTACCTCAAAGTTTCTCCCATCCAAGATGAACTATCATAACACATCCTTCTGTAATCCACACCAATTACTTTGCTTGCATCCTTTTCCAAAATCACCTCAATAACAACTCCCCATCTTCACGCGTTTCATCCTAAAATATTTTGGGTAGGACTTGACTAAATGTCTTGCAACTTGCTCTACATATATAGCCCTTTATGGGGGACTGGTTTCCATCTGTAGTGCTGACAGTTTCATGACGCTGCCATTACAAAATTTTATAATTGTTAATACTTCCTTTACCATTCCCACCTTGCAATTTACCTGCCAAATCGTCCCTTTGAAGGTGCAGTGAGATTACCTAGATTCTCCTCTACCTCAGAAAGCCCTCAAGAACCTAGAATATATTAGTTAAAACTATTTGAGATCATATTTTACCCCCTTTGAAGCTATCCTTTACACTAAGAACATGCTCTAGGTTGAGGTGGTCAGGCGTGCGGGTGCCACAATGTGACATCTAGGGTTCTATTTTCACCAGGTCCTGACCTATCTTGTAAATTCATTGGATAGGAAAAAACACATCATCATCGTCATCATCATCATATCCCTTTCCCAACTAATTGGGATTGGCTACACAAATCCTAGTTTGCCATTCTACTCTATTAAGGGTCATACCCTCAATGAGGTCATAAGTCCCATATCTTTTCTCACTACTTCCAACTATGTCATTTTGGGCTTACCCTTTGCCCTTTTGAACCTTCCACTTAATCTAACTTGCACCTCATAACAGGTGCTGTATTGGTTTTGCACCCCACATGGCCAACCCATCTAAGTCTACTTTCTCTCATCTTATCGCCTATTGGTGCTACACCTAAATTCTCCGAATGGATTCATTTAAAATTCTATCCCTTCTTTTCTTGCCACTCATCCATCTCAACATGCTGATCTCAGCTACACTCATTCTATTCCTTCTTTTCTTGCCACTGATAAATATGATGTTTACATTTAGCCACATATCACTCTAAACTACCATCTTATTACTAGGTTTCGTAGATCTGCCAGTTCTTATGGTTCTCCTGATATTCACTTCACTAGCGAGCCACATACAACTTTACCCACTATGCTCTATCTGGTCCTATTCTTTCCCTGTCAGTAAGCTGCTTTTGTCTCATTTTGGTTTCTGACTAACCATACATACATGAGAAAATCATTGGTCGCATGCAATGTGACACTTAGGGCTGGACTTTTGTGTCTAGACCATAGTTATGGGAACCGTGAAGGCAAGGCCACGGTCCTAGTTCAGAACTGCATTCCCACATTTCCATAAGGGGATCTTGATGGGTGCGTGACTAATCATTTTACGGTCCTCGTTTCCTATAGGTTTAAACCGTTGTTCGCAAATTTGGGAAATGCATTTCTTTGTACTTGTCGTTCTGGTTTCTCATTTTGTGACTCTCGAATCCTCTACTTTTAAACTGAGGTTCCTCGTTTAAGTATGATTCTTGTAGATAGGATCCTTATTTACCAACAGTTTTGATCGCGGTCCACATAAGTAGGACTCTCGTATCAGCAGGTTTTAATCGTAACATTCCATAATTATTATTCATCGTTTATGTGAATTGTAAACTGAACTCAACTTTGGAACAAATGAAAGGTTTTTAATATTTCACTCAAATCCCATTATTGTTGTGAATCCTACAACATGGAATTGAGATTCCCTTCGAGATTGATCTAGGGAATCTTCGGTTCTTAGTAATATAGTTTCGCGATTCATTTAATCGTCGGTTCCTAAAATCTCGAACCGAGATTCCGTACCACAAGGAGTAAGGTCATTGATCTAGGGAACCTTCACTTCCTAGTAATAAAGTTCATGATTCCTTTTATTCACTTCGTGCGATTCTTACGACGAGGGATCAAGATTCCCTTCCACAAGGATAGAGCTCCATTGATTTAGGGAAGCTACGGTTCCGAGCAATATAGTTCATGATTCCTTAAATTTGTTTTGTACGATTCCTTCTACATGGAATCGAGATTCTCCAAGACAGGGATCGAGCTCCACCATTCCAGAATCGTATGGATTACGATCCCAATCGTAGGGACCTTCGGGCCAGTCATGGTTCTGTGGATCCGAACCAGCTCCCACTCCTGGGAGCGAACCTGCTCCCAACAACTATGGTCCAGGCCTTTTCCATCCTTGAGGCCATCGTTTCCTAGACATCTAGTCCCACTGTACTTGTGTCCCCTTTGACTTCGAGAGTATCTGTTTTCTGTTCATTGCTTTCAAAACAATTGCTCCTTGATTGACCACCTTCTCCCCAGCCTTTTGGTTTAATGTTTGCAAACCAAAGCAGGTTCTGACCATTGACCCTCCTACACGCCCTCTGTTGATCACCTTTTTTTGGGCTTGGCAAAGATATTATTTATAGGAATACATATGGAGGGATTCAAACCTAATTTCTCATCGAAACAAAGCAGGTTATGAACAATGTCCCTCCCCAAACCCTCCCTCACCCCCCCCCCCCAAACAAAAAATAAAAAAAAGAAAAAAAATCTCCTCCTTAGTGTTGCCCGCTGGATATCTTCATGGCTTAGGCTACAGTGGTTCCTGCAAGTGTTTGAAACACATCCACGTGCACATGCAGACAGTTTTTCCTATATTTCAATTCAAGCTAGTGTCTAATATCTGAAATAATGGAGGCTTGCTCTGTATTGCTCAAAATGCATATTTGTTCCAACTCAATATTGATCTCAAACAATGTGAGGAATTATGACTGTACCCTCTTGTGCACTCATCATGTGTGTAGTTGATGAAAGCAGGGCTAATTGTGTGCCCCTTGGCGCAGCATATATTTCGGTTGTTCCCTTTGAGTGCTGCTGTTTTGGGTTTTGACGGTTCAGCTGAATCTACATAACACCTTAGGGAAGCAAGTAGTTAGTTTCATTTTTCTTTTGATTCTTAATTTGCTGATGATCAAGAAATATTATTTTTAGAGTTGATTGGAGACATCTGCTTGGGTTTCAGTGGTGCTGCTGGCTTTTCATTTTGTTATTGAAAATGGTTGTTTTACCTAGTTATGCATTGTATATTAATATAAAATATGAACGGACTGACTTGAATGTATAGGGAATAAGGGAATATTGTTGAAGATAATTCTTCATGCATTAATTGATGTTGAGTCCTCTTCTTGTCCACTATAACTGATGAATCTTTTTGCCAATCTTTTCAGGTTAGTACTTGATAGGGAAACTGGGAAGCCTAGAGGTTATGGTTTCTGTGAGTACAAGGATGTAGAGACAGCTAATAGCGCACGACGTAATCTTCAAGGCTATGAGATTAATGGTCGGCAGTTACGAGTTGACTTTGCTGAGAATGACAAAGGAAGTGACAGAAACAGAGAACAGGTACTCCATAAATTCGACGCAAAGCTTGATGTACTAGTGTTTCCTATAGACCTGCTTCTTCCCTCCCTGCTCTTTTAACTTTTACATGTAGGTCTAGTATCTTAAAGACGTCTACGCTTTTACTATTTTTATTCTAGATAGATTGTGTTTTGAGATATTATTATACATAGTAAGAATGAGCAGGATAATGAGATCTTATCTACATATTAAGAATGAGCAGGATAATGAGATCTTATCTTCTTGATCAAGAACTGATGCTGTTAATAGCTTATGACTGACTACCTTTTCCTATTGTTGATGATCCCTATTTGCTTGAACTTTATAAGATATGTCGGTCTTGGACTAAAAACTGTAACCCTTTGAGGATGCCGGATGCCTCAGTGACGATTCACTGCTTGGTGCCTAGTAGGCTACATACACATACCCACCCACACCTAAAAGAGAGTATTGTTTATATCTTGGGTCGATAATCTAGGAAAATGAAGAGATTGAGGAAGATGCCGTACATAAAATTAGAGTTGTGTGAGTAGGGTGGAGTTGTGCATACGGAGTTTTATATGATCGCCGCATACTAAAGAAGCTGAAGGGAAAGTTCTACAAGACATCTGTGAGAACCTTTACTTTATGGGATGGAATGTTGGGCGGTCAAGAAACAACATACCCATGGGATGAATGTAGCTCGGATGAGGATATTGATATCGAAGAATGACAAAACAAGAAAGCATAGAATTCAAAATTGCTACATTTGAGAGAACTTAGGTGTTGCTTCAATCAGCGGTAAGAGGGAAAGTAGACTTGGGTAGGCTGGCCATGTGCGATGTAAACCCAATAAAACATCGGTTAGAAGGTGCGAATTAGTTTAAGTGGAAGGCCTGAGAATGGCAAGGGGAAGGCCCAAAAGGACATGGATGGACTTAGTGAGAAAAGATATGGGGACTTATGGTCTTATTGAGGGCATGACCTTTGATTGCACAGAATGACGGAACGTGAGTCATGTAGCCAATCCCAAATAGTTGGGATAAGGCTATGATGATA